TTTTACTCATATTCATAAAAGCTATGACTCATTATGAATCCCGGGATAAGTCGCGGGATCCCGCGATTACTTAAAAAATATCTCGAAATCACGGGATCGCAAATGTTCCTCATATTTTGGCATCCCTAGTACCTACCTCTGTGTAGAGATTTCTTATGAAAAGTGAAGGGACTCTAAAGTTTCGATTAAACACACTCACATTAATCCTGTTACCTAGACTAGAGCAAACTTTTGGAGTTTGTTAGGACAGTTTTGCCAATATTTTGGCCACCAGATTATACAGCCATAAGTTGCTATTTTTCGCTCGTCTGCCTGCGGGCAGTATTTGAATTTATAAATAAATGGTACCTGCCATTCTGCATCAAAAATTAAATTTTGAAAAAAGGACTTGGCACCTTTTCACCCTTAGGTGGCGATATGTATTATGAAAATCATAGTGAATTTCAATGAATGGACAATACCTACTGTACGTTTTTGTGTTCCCTGCTTACGATTCTGATGCATATTCTTAAAATTAAAAATAGCGAATCCACTATTGCAGACTATTTAAAAAAAAAAGGCGTTGAATAATATAAAACCTCAATATTTAGACATTTTTGAAGTCGCTGATTAAGATTCTGAATCAGCACCATTTTTTTGGAAAAGTGTATGAAACACTTATTTTTGTATCAATAGAGTAACGCTCTGCAAGTCGCCTTAAGACAATTTTCGCTTATCCATTGCATTACAGGCATTACAACGTAAAATTACGTAAGAAAACATTTTTTTTTCAAAATTTCATTTCTGCAACAAAAAGTAAGTTTAGAAAAAAAATCTTACATTACTTTCGCGGTTAGGGCTCGATATGTCGACTTTCTCCGATGCTTTTCACTCTTTGGAAATTTGAAAAATTGAAAAATCGGAGTTATGTATTTGTTCTAACCAAGACAAAACAAATGAAGCTATGTGGTATTTTATATGTTGGCCGAATCCAATAAAGCACTCTATTCGTTCCTCTTCCATGCTAATTGACGCCAATTGGAAATGCCAACTGCGGCCAAGTCCTTCTCTAACTGGACTTTTTATCCTCTGCCACTACCAGCGAGTGCAGCGTTTCCATAGATTTACAAATGTTGTACTTTTTGTTAATCTTTCATGTTAATTGTTTGTGAAAATTAAAATTGTCATTTTGAGTATGTATATTCTCTTATCGGATATCTCCTTCTTTTTCAATATATCGATACTCTGATATTGGGGAATGTACTTTGAATGTACTAGCAATATGATTGTAAACTAATTTTTCATATTTTGCTATGCCACGATCCTCTGTATCGCGGTACGATTGTTATTGTTTGATCTAACATGGGGATACATGGCGTATGAGTAACAAAAAATCATTAGGCCCTATCGCGAATTTCACGTGAACAAATACCCCCAAAAATTATAAAGTAAAACAAAAACAATTTTTCCCAATTTGTTTTTGTTTTGCATGTTAAATTATGGGAACAATTTATTCACACGAAATTGACGATAGGGCTTTTCGACGCTCTTTTTCTTTCGAAAATTGGGAGGGTCAAACGTCCTTTTGGTATGTAGTTTGTTCGTCATTTTTACTTATAATTAATCGTACAATTTGAATTTGCTATACACATTCTTCGAAAATTTTGCTCCGAACAAATATGTACTCTCTCTAATATACATATGTACATAGTTTTAAGGCCCATGCCATTTTAGGATAAATGGATGAGCTAAGAATTTGCGTTGATTAAGACTGGTTTTCACTATGTCATATTTTGACGCCAAAATTTGGCAACATATTTTGACACAACTTTATCTCCTTTATCTATACCTTTACCGATAATATTATGGGCCAAAAGCTGACAGATAGCCGATTTAGCAGCGCATGTAACGACTTAAGACCCATCATGATCGAAATCAATCGATAAACCGCTTTTTGATCCCATTTGACAATGCGTTTTCACTTATTTGACTACAAATGCCACTGAATTTGACATAATGAAAACCAGCCTTTAGTCAAATCCAAAGTTTGACATATTTTAACCTAAAAGCATAAAAGGGCCGATTTTTGATGCAACTTTTTTCTCTCTAAAAAAACTCACTGAGTATTTTAAAGTACTATGTATTATCGCATAATGAGAAGTTTTTTTGCTGCCGGTCTTTTACGTGTTTTCCCATATAGCGTATGGGTCATTCCAGCGAAGATGACACCACAGGTAAAAAAATTAATGACAAAGATTGTGTTTAAATTTGTGGAAATAGTAAAGCAGGCAGAATAATTCTTTAGAAATAGATTTTTATCGATTTATTTTTCACTGTTTTCCTGTTTTCCCTTTTTATTTATTGTTACAAACGCATATGTATGTATATAATATGCTATAATATCTATATCTATATGATAGAATATATTTGTCAAGTTATAAACGAGACAGTGCAAAAAATAATTATCCAAATAGAAAGTACAATTCATAGACTTTAAAACGTTGTACGGAATTAGAAAAATGCATTTATGGTGAGAAATTATAAGCGTTCAAAGATATTCACATCAAGCTAGTAGCGTTCGTTTTGATTACGAACTATGCGTCCTCAATAGTGAGTCGTCCCACCCGTCACAAAATATTGTCGCATCTGCCACAATCTGAAAGAGTTTTTTTTTCAAATACATTAATGCCTCAAGGCACAAAATGGACCTTAATATTATACTGACTACACTGAACACCTCACCTCTATTTTAGACCTATTTTATATCTTTTTTGTATGGAGTTTTTACAGTACTTGAGATTTGCGTACCACGCTTAAACCTAAAAAAAGGATTTTTAATGTTAACGACTATCCTTAGATTTTCGACTATTTCCCAATTTCCGACGATGAAGATTCTAATGTTGTTCGACGAACTAAATGACTGTTTACAAATAATAACATAAAAACAGATTTGGTTGTTATTAACTCTAACTTCAACTGCATTTCTGTTGGGATACAAATATTGTAAACCAAAGGTTTGTCTCTACGGAAAATCATTGGTATTATTGAAGATATTAAAAATAATTTATCTCAAATAGAGAATAAGGATATACTAAAAAAATCATAATTCAGTTTTGATTCATATCTCTGTGCAATATAAACCGCATTATTTTTAATAATCTAAAAAATGTGACTACTACCTCGATGCACCAAGACTACTGGAATATCTAATTTTAAATTCTGTCCAGTCACATCAGAGGATGTCGACGGGTCGTTTTCCGTCTATTCAACTGCCTCAAACGACCAGCAAAAATATTTATTATTTGAGAACATCAAGAAACTCTTGACTGCCCATTGAAAGAAAATTAATAAAAAGCAAAACATTAAAACTACTTAAATTTTCTTGTTGTTTTTGGAGCATATTTTCATATTTTTTAATGCTTATCTAAGCGCTTAAAATTTATTTATTTGATTTATTTTTTCGGAAGTGCTTATGAGTATGCCACCGTTTTGTTTTTGGAATGTACAATTCATTGACTGAAAGTATGAGTTCTTTGAAATACCTTTCGTAAATAATTGCGCTCAGCTGCAAAATTTACTCCGTGCAGTGTTTATATGGTATTGGAAGACAGTACTGGCTTGCCCAAATGTAGGTTCTTGAAAATAAGCATCTCTGTAGAATTAAAAGACTCTTGCTTCTATAGCCAACCATGAAAAAAGTGAGTGAAAAATATTTAAATGTACATATATTTCCTGCAAAGCAAAGTTCCCGAAATCTTTAAGAATGTCGGCAGTTTGTTCCGCATTCTGTAACTGTTTTTTACGTACATATATTCAAACAAAATCGTCTGAATTCAGACTGCATGGCTGGTGGGCGTGACAGTATACCGATTTTTACCATCTCTCAGATTTATGCGTTCCTATGTTAATCCAAGATACAAGCCGAATTTCATTGAAATCCGATAACATTTACCATTCCCGCCCCCTAGGGTAGTGGGCGTGGCAGTCGGGTAAATTTTACCATTTTTCATATTTATTCATTGCTAGGCAAAGGTACTCCACGTTACAATTTTCAGCAAAATCGGAGCACATTTACTACTTTTTGCCACATTTTGTATGGGGCTCTTCCACTGTGCATCGCACTATGGCTAAATCAAGCACTTTCTGTGGCCAAAAATCAACCAATGCAGATGGGCGCTTAAAATCTTGTACACCTGCTTCTAAGATTCCTAAAATACGTCTGTTTGAAAATCAGCGAAATCGGCCTACCTTTCTAAAATGAAGGAAAATATTTTTATTGGAAAACGGAAAAATATGAACTATCAAGTCGGGGATACTCTATCGTTTGGTCGTATTACCGACGGTTTCGGTTTCGACCAGAAGTGGGTTAAACAGACCGGAAGTCCATTATTTTAACCAGAAGTCCCTTCCAGCTTTACAGATTTTTCTCCGAAATTTCGTAAAAGAATTGACATGAAAAATTGGAAAGGGAAACAATGATTTCTTTACAAATTTTTTAAGTTTTCTCTGCTATTCACTCGCATATAACGTTTCAAATGATTAAAATAACAATAATGAAATGTTAATTACTGTTATTTATTTGGTAGGAATTATAATTGGCACTTTAGAAAGTCTGTATTTAGATGTGTTAATGTTGTCTTTTGTAGAACATAATTATGTACTGGCATAAATATATGTACATACATACATGTATGTGTACACATTGATCTGAATAAGCTAATAAAAACTAGGGTTATAATTAACATTTTATTGATAAAAATTAAAAGCGAATTAAGTGGATACCTGACATATTGCATCACTAAAATCACACTGGCACATCAACATACTTACTCATTGTTTTTAGTCTAATCGTGAATTCTTATTAAATCTTATTCAACCTTATAATGAGTTTCATTTTCGCCCGAAATCATACACTTTTCACTTCTGCGTATTCACTACAAGCGGATGAGAAAAATTCGGACGAAACTCACGTTAAGGAGTATTAAATCTAGAAATCTACGTACATATGTACATAAAAACAAATACATACATACATATATATATACCTATTCGAGTTACACAATTTAACAGCACAAGTCTTAAATGTTATTTCATTTCGTTAAAATGTGTCACAATTTGTGATAAACTTTCATAGGTGCCAGTTGAGAAGCCCATCAACGCCAATACGAGTATCAAAATGTTTTTGGTAAATAGCCAAACGCCAGGTCCTTTGTTGTCGTCACGCTTCACAAGCAATTCAATCATCGGTGGGAAAACCAAAGCCAACGCAGTGGAACACAAAGCACCGATGAGCGACATGAACAGACCCAGTGCGGGTACCAATTCAGCAATGCATACTGGAATGTGGGAAGAATTGTGGGAATTATTAAAATATTTGTACCAACAATTTCGAAATGCAGTTAAATACTTACACGTCAGCACAACCATAATCGTGCGAAAGAGCAGCTCGCCGGAGAAGGGACGATTTTGCAAGTGCAAAAGTTGCATTGCATTCGGCCACATAATTTGTATGGCGATGAAGAATTGCAGCGGATAGCCGAGCAGCACGCCGGCTGACACCATTACCTTCACGGATTGCGCCAAGCTGTGCCAAAATACAAACATACATATTTACATATGTTGAAATTAAAAGAAAGGAATGCTTTTATGCTCGTCAAAGCAACTCACATTGTATCGCCCAGATTCAGCGTCAAGCTGCCGCCTACATCCTCACCCCACTTGAGGTAGCCCAAAATGCCGGCAAATAGGAACATAAATGTCACCAAGCACATGCCCATATTCAGCACGCCCATGGTGCGTGCAAAGTCCGTTGGATTGCGCATAGCATTACGCAGTGGCAGCACCAAAGTAATGCCCTCGAAAGCGAAGATCGCTGTGCCGAAAAACAATGCCAAATGTGGTCCATCATTGTAGAGCCTTCGCTCCGATGGACTGGGTAGACCGTCTTTGAGTGCGTAAAATATTGTTATGGCCAGACCGAAAATCATGCAAATGGAGGCGATCAGCGAAACCGGCATCAACCACTTCAAATTTGTTATGAGCGAGGTTAGTAGTATGGGCACGAATATGATTAACATAACAAGGTGTACATCTATTTCGATTTTGTAGGCATCAAAGATCTGTGAATGGCATATAAATTAGAGATTTTTAAACATTTGGACATAATTTATGAATACTCTTCGACCTCCATAAATACATACATACCTGTTTCATATTTGTGCTTATGAAAACCATATATATACAACAGAACCCTAATTGGGTAACACATATAAATATATTCACTATGGTTCTCATCATTTTCGACCAAGCACGCAACTTGACTGGCCCATTGGCGAAACACTGTTCCACAGTATCGGCATAGTCGGCACACACCAAGCCGTTGGTAAGAGTTCGCATCTTTTCCGAGCAATTAACGAGCACATGCTGACAATGCACCGATATAACGCCGATGACCACCAGTAGAATGGGTCCCAATATTAGGCCACCATTTTTGAAGGCATCACCCATGGCGAAGAGTCCAGGTCCAATGTTGCCCTTGAAGATGTGTATCAGCGTAGTCACATAACTATAGGTAAGATGGAGAGTATTGCAGTTAGTGTTTTTGCAAATAAATTACACTGGCCAACAAATTTTGCGGCAGAGTCAATAAGTGGTGATTCCTACAGATTTTCGTTCGTAGAATCAGAATTCAGATTGGCTTTAGTTTTTAAGATATTTTGGTTTAAAGATGTCAAAAAATGAATTATTAGCATATTTTCAACCGTTATAGTATAAAAACAGTATATCGTCGCCTTAGAGCGTAAACCTGCTAACGACCAAAAAACATATTTTACTGTAGAGGCCAAAAACTAAATATATCTTTAACTCTTAGTCTAAGTGGCAAATCCTACATATAGTTTGTTAATCGCGCGACGTTCTATGGCCCTAATCCAGAACGAATGAAAAAAATTACGTGTTTATGGTTTTATTGGCGAATTTCTAACTTAGCAGGTTTTAGTTTTTGTATTTTCAAAATTGAAGTGGATTTAGCAGGTTTTTTGTATGAATAAATTGTTTCTATTTTATTTTTTGTGATTACGAGCTCAATTTAAATGTTAATTAAAATAGTATTCCATAGATAAAAACAATTATATATACATAAAAAAATACAACAGATTTATTCTTCCGTTTATTGCAACAAAAATAGGCAGTTTATAAAACATATATTAGTAACTATACGTGAAGTATTCCTCTCTCAAATTAATAGTACATTGACCACATATAAGATAATTTAAGTAGGAACTCAATAATGCCAGAAAGTATGATACATATTATTCAATCATGAGGTAAATTGTTATAGTAGGCGTGGTAATCTTCAGGAAGTAATCGTTTGAAATACTGGAGATCTCATACTTTCTGCGAGCAATCGTACGCCTACTCTCGTATAAATTCGGAAGGTGAGAGAACGGCAAGGAAACAGCTACTGTGGATTTTCTTTGCGGTATAACTTCCCATTCGTTGGAGAATCTTAGTTTGAAATGTATGTCGCCACTTGGTCCATACCGTAGGGCTCGTATATCAGTTACTTTAGCTGCATCTTTGCCGCGA